GCAGGAATATGAGTCCTTTTAAAATTCCTATTTGCACTTTTAAAATAAATAAAATTATGTTTTGCTGAGACAAGTGTCAGGGAACAGTTTAGCAGGTTTAGTGCTACAGCAGGATTAGTCTTTTAGGTCAAGAGGGTCGGTTATTAGTCAATTATTTGTATAGCACTTTGAAGAGTTAAAACCAGACTACAAGTGCCTGAAATTGCTATTTCTGAAATAATTAGTTCTCTCAAACTTTTGTAAACTATGAATCTTATTTAAGGTTTAAGGCACCCCACAACCAATCTATCTGAAGATTTCTCTTCACATTAGTTTTTAGTTATTTTCATGCTGTAGTTTCATAATTAAAAAAAAATAATCACATACCTTTAAACTTAGGCACAGTCTGTTAATACTTAGGTATACTCTGTTAATTTAGGACCGAAACAGTGCCCTCATATTTATCATCATTTATCTTGGAAAAAAAATGCAGTGGTATATATTCCCTATTTTCTTTTTGACTGTTCAAATGTTCTTTTTCTTGGCAAGAGTGAAAAACAACAGCCGTGTTCATTCGCTAGTAAGAACATGCTCTTTCTACCCTCGGACATCATATTCTCTCAAATCCTTTTACTTTTTAGTCATTAATTCTAAGGGTTGCAAGGAAAGAAGTGCACATTCAGTTGCAGCGCAAAGCAGATCTAACTGATGCTCTCTCTCTCCTCGGACCTTTCTGTAGTAGTATTCATTAATATGACTCTAGCACCAAGTCTTCTGTTCAGGGGATTAGGGAACTGCATGGCAATAGCATATTAAGCTTTTCACCTCTCGCTGGTAGTGCTTAAAAATGGTTACAATATTAATATTGTTAGAAAAAATAGTTATTTTCTAGCAATAACTCATTCTTTCGCTGCAAGTTACTGAGAAGGAGCTACATGCCAAACCACTGTAGCTGATTAACATTTTTCAGGTGAAAATGGTCCAAATGCCACCATTTTCAATCTTTTTTTTTTTTTTTTGCTGTCAAAACATTTCCCCATATTCAGTGCTTTGAAAATAATTGCTAGAAATGTAACAAAATATTCTGTCTGCCATTTTTTACATTTTCTTTTTGACTTATTCTTTATGTTTTTTTGGCTCTTGCTGTACTAGCAGTTGGCGTAATTACATATCGGGTTTTTTTCAGAATTGAAAAATGTTGTGCGGGGAATCTGCTTCTGAATCTAACAGCACAGATACTTCTGGTTTAAAAGCAAATTAAACACCTCTTCAGCAAACCTGGAGGAAAGAGCGTATTGCTTGCCTGCAACAGAAAACAATGGCCTGAAGAAGCGTCAGCAGTTCCGTTCCACTTTCCTTGTTCGCCATAAGACAGGTTATTTTTAGCAGCGACTGGAGTGGAGGACAAGTAATTGCATATCCCGTAAGGTCATCCGTTCCTATCTCTTCTAGACATCTGTCCTTGCTCTCCTGCTCCTAAGAAACAGCTGCATTTGCATCTGGCTGCCGAAACAGAGAGCAGGCAGCACCGGGGTGACGGGGTGGAAGAGATGTGCTCAGGGCACCCCAGTTACTGCCTGCAAGCAAATCTTTTCCTGTTTCACAGCGTCGCCTCTTATAGAGCTCAAGTGGAAGACAAAAGCGACCTCCCAAAATACAGCTGGGGGGCTGAGATAATACGTCCTTTGGTCAATGGTGGATGCCTGGTGGCTTGAAAACCGCTTCTGCTCTTGGTGCTGTGTAAAGACATAGCTATTTCTGAAGTCTGCACCTAACACCACTGTGGGCTTCATACAAGGGAGCACCAGTGCAATGCAAGCGTACAAACATCCGTGCAGCACTAACCTAACATCTCCTGCTTCGGTGAGCCCTGAGACTTTTTAACATACACAATCTCATTTGCTTAGACAGCCATTAGGCTAAAATAGCCTGACCCCTACAAAAAAACATAACTGGCTTTCTGAACAGACTACTTATGTGAAAGTACAAGTGATGCTCCTTTTAATATCGGGGCTACGTAACCGTCTCTCTCCAGGACGCCTGAGAGACTTCTGGGAAAAAAAGGGATAATCCTGCTTAGGAGGAAAAAACCAGTGCAGTGCTGGTCGTATCTCATCCTGAATTTCTTGCTAGTCAGAAATCAGCCATAAAATATGTTGACTGTCAGAAACTGCGACTTCCAAACCAAAACAGTCTAGAAGGATCCCTCCCTTCTGGATATGAAAGGGTAAGAATAATACACTGAAAAAGAAACAAGGCAAAAGAAAGAAGACAAGAGGGACATTTCCCCTTAGTTAAGCCAATTAAAGCAGTTCCGTATTAATTTGCTGAAGCAGGAAA